ATTTGTATGCAGATAGTTGATTCTTTGCTTGTCAGGCAGATGCACTCTGACTTTGAAGGAAGCTCCCAATTAGTCTATCATGCTTGTTGAGGGGGGGGGGGGGGGGGGGGGGGGGGGGGGGGGGGGGGTTTTTCCCCACAATGGGGTCCCAGAACCCACACAGGAAACATCTACTGTCTTAAATGGTGGATGATGTCACTTTATAATACTCCATATTTTACTAATACATTCATCAAATTTGTCAATCTCATAACATAAAATTATCTTTGTCATCTTCTACTTTGTCTCCATGACAAAGAAATAACTATCAAAATATCAAGTGCTTTTTAAAAAAAATATAATTTTCAAGAAAAATACACAAAACAATAAATAAATAAAAACAAACATCATCAGATAATATGAGCAGAATTGTTCTTTGTCTCAATGAACAAAAATAATCTCTGGAGGACTTAGCCTTAATGACTGTAAGTAAAGAAGGAGTCAAGGACCCTCTCTCCTACCAACGTGGTAAACTTCCCATTTTAGGCTAGGTCAACCTGAGAGCCAAGGTCAGTTTTGAAAGGGGGGAGCCCATCTCAATGCAGATTAAAACCTAAGACCACTGGGCCAAACAGCGAGCGTCTCATGCCTAGAATGCTGTCAACACTCAAACACTTGGTTAGACAACTATCACAATCTATGTAAATGTTGAATTGAGAATCGACAGAAATTTGGCATTCTCATAAGTGGTCCCCATCTTCAAGCAGAAAGTGAGTTCCAATTCTGATGGTACTAGTAATTGTCTTGTCTGTTTGTACATCTGCCTCGCCATTCCTTTGACTGCTGAGCGTCTGCCAGATCCCCTGATAACTTCCCGCAGCGCCATTCTCCTCAGACAGCAATGATTTTTTTTTGGCTGGCAATAATGTGATAAAAGCCTGGCCAAGTTATAAGCAAGAACCAGCAATAAATACACTAGCTGAAGAGGTGGCATTGTCAATCAACAACAAAAAAGAAGACACATAATTTTAACACAGTCTGCCACATACATAACTTAAATGTAGGCACATATACATATGTACAAATACATGCATTTTACAAATTAGTCATTTAGAACATAAAACTAACAAATATGTCAGAAATAAAATATAAAAATTTGCAGGACATCAGAAGTCTGTCTTGGCAGTGGTAAAATGTTGCAAGCTAGCTTGGTTTGGGCATGTGGTGAGACATGACTCGATTGCAAAGACCTTATTTCAAGGAACATTGGGGGGTGTAGTACAAGAAGAGTAGGGCAAAGAAAAAAAAAACTCTGGAATGACAACAACAAGAAACGGGCAGGACTAACCTATTACACTTCTTCTATTCATCCTGTGGAAGACAGAGAAAGATGGCCGGTTCTGTGTGCTAGTGCTTCCGTCGATACACCTCCATGACATCTAATGGGTCAAGTGTTATGTTACATATATATACAAATCAAACATAAAAAGGTCTGGAATGCCAATACATCATCCATGCTTTATCTTCCAACAGTGGTTCTTTGCTACTAAACTTAGAAGACCAAATGCAATATGAAGCTCCTATTTTCTAGTGTTTAGCCTAGAAGACTAAGCACCGGATCCATTACCTAGAGTGCAACATTAATTTGCCCCTCTCAATACTGCCCTGGAATTCTTTAAACGTGCAACATGAAGTTCCTATCACCTCGCCTTTATTCCACAAGATTAGGCCCCTCAATCACTACCCAGGCACCAGGGAAGGAGTTCAGCAACAGCATACCATTGACTGCTGCACCCCCCCCAACACTGATACTTTTCTTCAAATCAGCAACAGACAACACATCACTGACCTTGTCACCACAAGAACCTAACATTTGTAGGTCATGACATCCTCGTTGGATATCCAAACAAATGTTTTTTTTTCTATTGGCCGCTGATATTAAAAAAAAATACTTTTTATAATGGTTTTTAAATGCTGACAAAAGACAAAATGATCTGCAGCCATTCCAACAGACCCAATCGCCTGGTTTACAAGCATGTGGCAAAGTGCACACATTACTATTAGTTGACGCCGTACACTTTGGTAGGTGAGATTTGGACATGTGCTTTTCTTAAAAAATATAAATGTTATTTTTAGTTTGCTATAGTTGACCGTTGCGCAGTTATGCATGGGTGAATCAGAATGTGACGTCAGTTTAGGTCGGGGGGCGGTGAGATGGTGTTGAGGGAGGGGGGGGGGGCTTTTAAAATGTATAAAGATTTTAAAAAGGATGTAATCAAAAAACACAAACAGAGTGAAGAATCCAATGGTTTACATTCAGGGCTGCTGAAAAGAATACATGTACTGGTTGACTCATGCCGTAACCTTTATCACTGAGGCTTATGGGAAAATATGACATCAACTTGGCTTTTCTTCACAGGAAAATACCCCTAAATGTTATTTTTAGCTAACATATTTATATCCTGACCGTCTGCGCAGACGGATCTCAGCCAACAACATAAACTATGTATCTCGCAAACACATTGTAGAAAAGTGGAAAAGTGACATTTACAAGGAGTTGTCAGTTTTGCATCTTCCCGGTGAGACAGGGTTAAACACCTCCAAACTCCTTAATCTTTTCAAAATATCATCTGGTGTAGCACAATTGGAAATGTGGAGCCCTTGGACAAAAACCAGTTTAAGAACCACTGCTGTAGACACGGCTGGTTCTTTCTTTCTACAGTTCTTTGCTGTCTACCCACACATGTTGTTTCAACATATGGAGTCTCAATCTCACTCATTTCAAAGTACAATCAAAGACTCGCCCACACATGTTGTTTCAACATATGGAGTCTCAATCTCACTCATTTCAAAGTACAATCAAAGACTCGCCCATACATGTTGTTCCAAAAGTTGGAGTCTCAGTATCACTAATCATTTTAAATTACAATCTTAGACTCCCCCCCCCCCCCCCCCCCATGCTCTGTTTTAACAGCAAAAGTCACAGTCTTACTCCTTTCAAAGTACAATCAAAGACTCGCCCACACATGTTGTTTCAAAAGTTAGTCTCAGTCTTACACTTCATTTCAAATTACAATCAAAGACTCGCCCCTACACACTGATTCAACAGCCAGAGTCTCAGTCTTACCCCTCAAATATTAAATTTTCCTACAATGGAGTCTCAATCAAATTACAGCTCACCCCCCCTGTTTTAACAGCCCTCCAATCATCGCCCCTCACACACTGTTTTAACCTAGAGTTCCCTAACCTGATACAACACACTGGAGCCTCTCAATCTCCCTTCAAATTACAATCACACACTGTTTTAACAGCTAGAGTCTTCATCTCCTTACAACCATAGACTCATACACACTGTTTTAACAGCTAGTCTTATTTCTCATTACAATCACAGACTCGCCCCTAACACACTGTTTTAACAGCTAGAGTCTTATTTCTCCTTACAACCATAGACTCATTCCTCACACACTGATTCAACGCCTTGAGACTCAGTCTTACTCCTCATTTCAAATTACAATCACAGACTCGCCCCTCACACACTGTTTTAACAGCTAGAGTCTTATTTCTCCTTACAACCATAGACTCATTCCTCACACACTGATTCAATGCCTTGAGAATCAGTCTTACTCCTCATTTCAAATTACAATCACAGACTCGCCCCTCACACACTGTTTTAACAGCTAGAGTCTCATTTCTCCTTACAACCATAGACTCATTCACACACTGCCTTGAGAATGAGTCTTACTCCTCATTTCAAATTACAATCACAGACTCGCCCCCTCACAAATTACAATCACGCACTCATTTCTACAATCACTCCTGACTGACCCTCAAAATGAAGAGAGAAAAAAACAACTTAAAACTTCTTAATTCAGAATTAGCAGTTTCATGTCATTTAAACATAAAGAATAGCATTAGTTCAACAAAACAATAAGATAAAGTGTTATTTATAACAGGCTTTCCCAACTAGTCATTGGCTGAATTTTGTCTAATCATACTTCTTCATTCACCCTTAAAATGGTGGTTGGAATACTGTGTTGTGGTTTACAGCTAGGCTGTAATATCTGCACCTTTCATACTAGCACATCTGATTTCAGTAAGTCCTTAACATCTTATACGACATGGTTTTCCTACCCCCCCCCCCCCACGAGTCTGAGGATCCCCCACCCCCCCATGAGTATGAGGATTTAGGGCTGCATGGCTAGCACTCCCACCATGGACTGTGCAGGTAAGGCTGTTTTGTTTAATTCTGCCCCCCCCCTCCAGAAAAACTCCATCATCTTACCTGGGGGCAAACCCGGGTCTCCTGCATAAGAAAAGGATGCTGTAACCGCCCGGCCAGGCACTCCTTATTCTGTCTAAAAACTGGTGTGTAAAAGCCAAGACACTATTTCACACCACTGGTACATCTGGCATATTGTGTCAGACCAACATTTTATAGACCAATCAACAATTGATGTGGTCTGCCATTACTGACAGATTAGCTGCTGCCGATCCTCTAGGCAGTGAGCTACTTTATGATCAAGGCTCTCTGGGATCAAACGAATAATGTAATAATAACACACAGAGAAACCATTCACTAAAATACCAATTCAACCACGCAATGAGCAGAGTTTTGGAAGATATTCAACAATAAGAGGAGAAACAAGCGGACTTTTAATCAGGTTGCAACAACTCCCCCAACTTTACCGAGCATTTAAATTTGGGTCTCGCACCTGAGAGCCAGCGTTTTTAAAGCTCAACCAGCAGCCAATCAAAAGCTTTCACTACATCTGTTTCATCGTAAAGTAGCTCACTGTCCAAGAGAGCAGCAGCAGCAGCCAATCTACCAGCCCGTTCATTTTCCCACATTCCAGAATTTCAAGCAAACATTTATGACACTAATTATAACAAGTTTAAAACCGTATAGGATCGTTACAGATACCAAATTTTTTCAACTCACATTTCCACAATGTAATGATGACCCCAACATCAGTTCATGTTTACAAACATTTGCACACACAATAATGACTTAATTGTGACTTTTATAATTTACATAGACAGTACAACAAGGGGATAAAAGCCCCGATTGCAACAAATACTGGAAAGAGCATGGCACTTGTGTCGTCTGCGGCGTATGGGTCTTTAATCCTGGGGCCTGATGGTTTCCGGGACTTCTGATGTTTGATACTGGGGGACTCTTCGTCTTCATCATCGTCCTCTTCAACCACATCAGCTCCAGGCATTGTAGGAAGTTTTGGTACGTCTGCAAAATTATTTAAAATGTATTAAAGGGAAATAGAAAGACTGTTTCATAAAGAAAAAACTTTCTGTTTGTGATAACGCTGTTTGTTTGTTTGTGTTACCGGCTGTACACAGCCAGGCAGAAAGACCTGGTTGTTTATCCATTTTTGGACTTTGGTTTTGTTCCAAGGACCTGAGTTGTGGACGTGCATCTGTTTTTACCAACCTTATTTGTATGCAGACTGCTGGTTCCTCGCCTCTCAGATGCACTCTGACTTTCAAGAAAGCCCCCAATAAGTTGACTCTTACAAAATGCTTGTTAGGGAGGCAGTGGGTCTATTCCCCCCCCCCCCCCAAACTGGGGCAGCGGAATCCACATGGGGAATGTCTTAACTCTAATATACGGGTCAATCACCATATGCCAGACATGCCTAAAAGAATGAAGACCTTTTTTTGATGCAAGACTTTCTCTCTTATTTCTAAGACTATCGTGTGCATGGGGTTTCATAGCAAAGGCGAATGGACGTCGCCTAGGCATATATGATATCACATCTACTTTGAGAATAGAGGTGGAGGCAGTCTCTGCTGCCTTCCACTGGCTTTTTCAGCTGTACACACTGTACACACATGTCATGATTGTAACTGACTCACAGAGAATGCTGATAAAGGTGAAAACAGGCATGCTTCGTTCAGAGTGGCAAGCATCACTTCAGAGGTCCCGGGTAGTTAGCATCCTTTAGATATTTTCTCCAGGTCATGCTGGTGTGTTAGGAAATGAGCAGGCAGATAGACTGGCTGGCTCTGGACCATTTAGTGGTGATAGATGTATGACAAGTTAGATATTGTGAGTTCCCTTTGGCAGCGAGTGAACAGTGCGGAGGCGCAGATAGATCATTAAGGTCTAAGAAGAATGGTGCTGGGAAGAGTTACCAGGGAATCTGGCTGACGCTCAACACTCAGGGGAAGGATGAAACGAATATACAATCAGTACCATCGGAATTGAAACTCTCCGCTTGCAGCTGAAGATGGAGACTGAGCACTTATGGGCGAGCCCCGAGTGCTGTGATATCGATTCTTAATTCAACATTCAATCTAAGACTAACATTTAATACACACAGAGCAAGCTGCTTAAGGCAATCTCAAATGCAGCGAATTTCTGTTGTGAAGAACAGTTTGTTTATCCCTCGCAATTTTTCTTGCTTGAATTCTTATCTAGATAAGAGGAATTTATAAGAAGAAGAATCACTTCTTGGCTCCCTGGTGAGTTCTTATCAAGTCCGCGATGTAAATGGACAGAACAAGCTGCAAGCAGTAGACAGCATTGTGGAACAATGTACGAAAAGATACTAAATGACTTACCATCAACTGTGCCCCTCATCACATAAATGGCATTCACCTTTGGATTGTCCAGGTCCCCCTGTGACAGAACAACAACAGAAATCAGTTTGCTATATTTACTTTTTCAGAACCAGAAGGTTTCATGGGAAAATGTATAAAAAATAGTGATTTTTACTATTCGGTGGCCGAATAAGAATAACGGGATCAACTTTTCGACCGAAACAAATGGGTATAAAATATTTATTTTAAACAAAAAAACCCACATTCATAATGTCAAATGTACGCTGAACGTTAACTTCACATAAAGTAGCACAGAATAGTCATTTTCTTCTTTAGCATTCTGAGCCCTTGAGGTTTACTGATGCAGATATCACTCATCTACATTCATTTCTTTGGCTGGACATAATCTCTTGATCTTCTTTTCTGTCTGCCTTGAGGTCTACGACCATTTATCTCTCAGGTGTATACAGTTTTACTTCTCTGTCATCTGACATTCTTTCAATATGCCCCAACCATTTTAGTCTGTTAGCTCTCATTATGCCAGTGATAAATAGTGATTTAAACAGATTATGTGTTACTTTGTTGCTTCTCCCTCTCCATTTCCCGCAGTTAGCATCTTTGATGGATCCAAAGATTTGTCGTAAGGATGTGTTCAAAACCTGTAATAAGGCCTCATCTTTTTTATTTCTGCTTCAAAGTTTCAGAGCCATATAACACGACTGGTCTAATCAATGTTTTATATATTTTGATCTTGGTCTTGCGAGACAGACACTTTGACTTTAGCAGATGTTGAAGGGCATAGTATACTTTTTATCTAGACTGTATTTTAGATTGTATTTCTTCTCTCAGCATGTTGGAGCAGTTGAAGTTTGCACCCAAAGTACTTATGTTTCCGTTCGTTTGATTTTCATATTATCGACTTGGATGTGGACAGAGTTTATATTCTTTCCATGTCTAGTTAGTATTCGTACAGAATAGTAAACATTTAAAAACATTTTATGTTTTGCATCCGTCAGTCAGTCTGTGTTAACTAATAACTAGGACTGAAAGAATCCTAAGTATTACAACAAGTAACTAAACTTGGAAATTGTCACTGACAGCTTAGTTAATGCATGAAAGCTGCATTAGCTTTCAACAAAACCAATCTTTCCATGTTGTCAGTATTGATGCCGTATATGCAGAAGCGGGTGTAAGGTAACTACTATTCGTATTCGGCCCGACCACAACTATTCGGCCGAATACAGAATAGTCAATAGGTCCACTATTCAGCCCCGAAGCGAATATTATGTACAGCCCTAGTGAAAATCATCAATTCATTACTATACTTCTTTTTTGTTCACCAGCTGTGAACGGCTCCTGTGAAAAGTCGGCTGTTCATGCAATTTGACTTTAACTTTATGGCAAGACCTGAGTTTTGCGTTTACATCTATTTTACTGGCTTATTTCTTTGCAGTTGGTTGTTCCTTCCCACTCGGGCAGATGCACTTTGAGTTCGAAGGAACCCCCAGTTAGTCGACTTTGGCAGGTTTTTTTCGGGTAGGCAGTGGGTGTATACTTGTTTTTCTTTTCCAGAAAAGGCAACCATCCTGTGGTGTTCTCTGTTACAGCTGATGTTCCAAGCATCAAAATAAATGGCAGGGACATTGAGAGAAAATGCAGACTGTGGTACCTGGGAATAATCTTTGACAGAAGTGTCTTTCAAGGATCACACAGAGGTGGTTGTATCAAAGGCTCAAAAAGGTCTTAATGCACTAAAGATTATGGTAGCGATGGACATAGAGCAGAGAATGCTGTTTACCTTATACCCGAACTTAACAATCTCAGTGATTGATTATGGACTGGGTTTGCTCACTGTCTAGAATATTTACCACAAGCAAACATTTGAGGTACGATACAGAGATGGTTTTAATGTGTTTGCAAAATTCATCGTGACACCACAGGACAGGTCTCCAGTGGATGACAGATGGGAGGAGATGTGGACGATCTAAGGAAACATGGAGAAACACAACAGAATGGGAAGTGGAAGAAACTAAAATGACATGGAACAACATAGAAAAGTAGCAGACCAACAACAATAGAGATCACTTGTGAATACCAACAGCAATATGAAGAGTTTATACATCAGGAATCCTAACAACAATTAACCATTCCGACATCGGTACAGCATTACTGTACTAACCTTAATAAACCATTTCGACATCGGTACAGCAATACTAACCTTAATAAACCATTTCGACATCGGTACAGCAATACTAACCTTAATGAACCATTCCGACATCGGTACAGCAATACTAACCTTAATGAACCATTCCGACATTGGTACAGCAATACTAACCTTAATGAACCATTCTGACATCGGTACAGCAATACTAACCTTAATGAACCATTCCGACATCGGTACAGCAATACTAACCTTAATGAACCATTCCAACATCGGTACAGCAATACTGTACTAACCTTAATGAACCATTCCGACATCGGTACAGCAATACTAACCTTAATGAACTCAACAGTGATTTTATTTCCATCGATCTGTGAAGACTCTCCATTAACTCGCAGCTTTCCTCCACGTATCGTGAAAGGAATCATTTCATCGTGAGCAACCCCTCTGCCGACCTTGGCATATATGTCAAGCTCGCTGACAATCGTATGCTCCCCGTTTAATACAACATCAAAAACCTGGAAAAGAAAACACAGAAAAACTTACATGTTTTCTTCAGACTACAGAGTTCATATCAAACAAGGAGACATGAAACATCTTAGCCCTCACTGGATTATGATCTCAACATCTTGCATTCACTAGCTGCAAATTCTGGTGGACAGTTCTGGTTGTTCATTCCTTCTTGACTTTAGTCTTGCTCCAGAACTTGAGTTTTGCGTGCACATCTGTTTTGCAAATCTGACTTTTTGTATGCAGACTGCTGGTTCCTCGCCACTCAGGCAGAAGCACTCCGACTTCGAAGGTTTACTAATTACTGATTTAAGAATCGACATCATAGAACACCGGGCATACCCATAGGTGCTCCGTCTCTCGCAGCAAATGTCTTAAAGTGTAGATGCTGTTCCCATAGCACACTGATTATACACGTCGTTTTCTTTTCCTCTCATCCATCCCTCAACACTTAATTCCTTGTTCACACATTCTTGCACATGTTATTTCATCTAATCTAGTGTCTTCTGTCAACAGTTAATTATACATGGTCTTTAGAGTATTTTCCTTGTCCAGTAAAGAGTTTTCCTGTAGCTTTCGCTTTTGTAGCCAGAAAATCGGCTCTTTCATCCCCTCACACTCCTGCATATCCCAGACAGTATATCCACGTGATTCCATGTAATGTTCGCATACTGATACATGGTATCCACTCATGCCACATTAGTCCATTTTGAACCTTCCGCCCAGTGGATCCCGGCTCACTGCGGCATACCAGGAAATGAGCTAGCAGACAAACTTGCACAAAATGGAACAAAGAAGAAACAACACGCCCATTCATTGTCATTACCAGAAATCAAAACACTTATCAAAGGAAAATACCAAGGATTGTGGAGAGAACAAACCAACAGTAAACATCCACAAGACCCTATCAGCAGACTCAACAGAAAGCAACATACAACAATTTTCCGTCTACGAACAGGACACTGCAGGCTCAACTACCACATGCATAAAATAAAGATTGTACAGTCCCCACAGTGTGCCTGTCAGACAGGACCACAAAACACCTCAGCACATTCTGCAGACCTGCCCACTCTACCTGCAACTTCGAAAAGACACCTGGCCTCAAGAGCAGAGTGTGCAGAGCAAGCTATGGGGAACCATGCAGGACCTGCAGCTGACATGCGAGTTCATAGAGGCAACCCACCTGATGGTCTGATCTGAGCATACGAAACCGAACGCAAAGAAGAAGAAGAACCTTCTGCAATGCCGACTGAGAATCAGACACAATAATTCCTCTGGTAACTTTGTTTTCTGCTATTCAATCCAGAGCTGCAGTGATTGCCTCCACTTCCATTCTCATGCTTGAAGTTGTAGAAAAAAAAACTTGATTTTGTTCTGCCACAATCTTTCCCATCTTTCAGTTGCTGTACCTCTAATTCTGCCATTCCGTTACACCACTCACTACATTCTCTTCCTAGAGTGATCATGATCTGATGGAAACTGCTGTTGTGGGTGTTCGTGTCGATTCATTCCTGACCCCTGTGTATTTGCTTGACCGAGGCCGGCCTCTAGACGGTATTTTCAGCTAGTGCTATCCATGACTTTCCTCTTTTCAATCAGTCTCCTCTCAAATCATTCAGATTACCATGCAGCGGATGCCTTTTATCATTGGTAACTCGCATATAGATCTTGGCTTGTGCCAGTCTAGATGTTACCAATGTCAACGTAAGCATATACCTCATTGTTCTGATTGGAGTATCTCGTGTGCAACCCAAGACGATTCTTATTTCTTCATTTTGAATCCATTCAAGCTTTGAACACTGTTAAGTCGACAGGGTTAATATTTCTAGGCCATAATCAATTGCAGAAAGGACCAAACGGCTGAACAATAAGACCAACTGTCTCTGTTCTAAGTGTAGCAAGAGGTAGACAATAAAACAAGTGGAAGGACAGCATTAAAAGACAGACAAACAGCAGTCTGAGAGAGTGTACTACCAATAAAAGAAACAGAGTGTGTTGGAGATTCATTGCAATCAACCTTTACTGTAGAGATGATACTTGACTGACTACATACATTAGCATTTTTATAGACCAATCAACATTTAGTGGGTAATATGGTCAACATCTTGGCCAGCCACCTTTACTTCCCTGATCATTATCTAAGATAGATAATAAGTAACAAAGTCAGAAGAAAAACTAGATTATTATGGCCTGGAGAGGATGAGGCACTTGGGTGTGACCAGAGGGTCTGGCCGGCTCACTTCACTTAGAGGAAAGGTGAGACATAACCAGACTGCGACTGGTACCGTTAGCATTAGGACTGCGCTGGCTGCTAAAGACAGGGAGAGAGCGCATATGGAATGCTGTGATATCAATTCTTGACTCAACTTAACTCTATCTAAGACATATATAAAGAGATATATAAAGACAGATTCATAGATGATAACAATGGTTACTAATTGAGTAATATCATCCCTGTGTGGTTTCCAAGGCCCATTGTATTGTAGGGAAAACAAAAACAGACCCACTGCCTCCCCAACAAGCATGTCCTAATTTGGAGCTAGGCAACGAACCAAGAATGTGCATAAAAATAAGCCAGATATGAAAAATGGATGTGCATGTGAGTTGATTCTGGAGCAAGACTAAAGTCCAAAAGTGGATGAACAACCAGAACTTTCTGCCAGAGTTTACAGTCGGTCAACTTGAAGAAGAGTAGTAAAACTATTCCCTCTGTTTAAGAAAAAAAAAAAAATAAGTGACAAGTCAGTGTAAGAAATAGTAACTGCCATTGCTGCCTTTACTTACCACTTTCACAGAGTGGGGGAGGGGTTCCTTTAAGCCTAAGGATTAAAAGCTGCCTGGCTAGTGCTGTCGCCATGGACTGTGCAGGTTAAGGATTTATTTTTGCCCCCGACAGAAAAAAAAATCCCTAGCCTTACCCAAGATAATAACCCTGGTCTCCCATGAGACAGCCCTTTGTATCCGTTCAGCCGAATCTAAGAAATAGTGAACAGGCCCATACAACCCCTGTGTGAGTTCCAGGGCCCTATTTTGGGGGACAAAAGAACAGTCCCTCTGCCCCCTATCAAGCATGACGTAAAAGGCGACTAATCAGTGTTGATTCCCTGGAAGTCAGAGTACATCTGTCTGAAAGGCGAGGAACCAACAGTCTGCACAAAAATAAGCCAGATCTGTAAAAGAGATTTCATTCAAAAACTCAAGTTCTGGAACAAGTAACAAGATCTTGAAATGGGTGAACGACCAGAGTTTTGTACCAGAGTTTAAAGCCGGTGAAAGCTAAGAAGAGAAGATGAAAATCCCTACTATAGAAAAATGGAACAATTAACATGGGAAAATGAAAGTTCGAAGGATAGAATAAACAAAGATTGGTTCTTGATCAATATCCTCCCTCAGATGACGTCACAGGACAGTCCAACATTTTACAGGATGGTAAGACTGGGTTTCCCGGCTTTCTGATACCTTTAACGACCCCAAAACATCTAGAGCTGGGCCTAATCCCAACCCACCTACGTCCCAAGAGAGAGTGCTGCCTAGGTCCCATGAATGCATGCATCCTAGGTCCCACAACTGCATGCAGTCTATATACCACACCCTGAAATATTAGACTGTCACGTGATCTGTGGATTTCCCCCGTTTGGGGTAGCATATTAATAAAGCACCCAAAGATTTTATCAGGAATATTATTAACCATCACTATATACATCAACAGGGACAAGACTTTGGAAGAAGAAAAAACAGCAAGAAAACAAGTGCATGAATAATGTCAAAGCTTTAGAGAGAAGTAAATAACAAAACAAAGACTAATAAACTATGAAGAACATCTTTCACTGTTAAAATATTTGTTTTGCAAACCTTTATTGGTACTTTTCTTTTAGTTCACCCCATCTCGAGGACTGCGATATTACATGGGGAGTTTCCGGAAAAGTCAATATTTTGGAGGTGGTGGGGGTGTCATCAGGGTTAGTCAGTATTCATTTTACACCCTAGCGCCTTTATACTATTGGACTTTCCGTAAACTCCCCCTGAAATCTAGGAGTCTCTGAAATAGGGTGAATTAAAAGAAAAGAGCCCCTTTATTTCTAGCATGTGCACTTCTGTACATATGCACGACTTAATCAATAAGGAGACAGGCTGAAATACAGCTGCTGATCTTGGAGTGGTGGTTTATATAATAAAGAGTTGAAGTCCAGAAGTGAAATGTGTGCAAATAAATAACTGCATTATTAAATCGCTTTATTAAATTCATTTTTTAAATTAATTACTGATCAAACAATGTTTAACTATTGCAATGTTAACTCTTTCAGTCCCACACAAAGTGTGATGTGCGCTTAGCTCTACTGTTAAATTCTAGCTAAGACTGAATATGTTCTCATAGTGCATACATCTGATCATTGCATACTAAAGAAATATGGCTTCCTCACTATCTAGCTTCTTTATAAGTAATACGCTGATAGATTTTTCTAGTGATAATATATACACGTGGGTATATCATGTCAAACCTTCTGGTACTCAACGAGTTAAAGAATTATGTAGAGCACAGGGTAGACAGGGTATACCTTGGACGGTCAGACTAACAACGATTGCTTGAAAGAAGCTAATGAAAGTAGATCTCTATACACAACAGTAAGAAAGAGATAAACACTGTTCTTTGGCCACATGAGAAGAGAGACATTGGAGAACATTGTGACAACTGAAAAGAACAGTGGGAAAAAAGGGTAGAGGCAGACCAAGAGAGATAATGCTGGAGGGGCTGAAACGATGGCATAGAGGGATATCATCAAGAGAGCTGTTCCAGGCAACCAGGGATTGTGATCTGTGGAGACGCATGAGCCCCTACGCCATTTGGCAGGGCACACGATGAGGGTAGACCAAAAACATAATAAAGACATAAGAGAAACATTACAACAGTATGATGGTCACTGTCTTTGACTATGGTCACAGAAGAAGCAGAACTAAATATCTCATTTGACACAAAGAGCTGCGAAAGTGGAAGTCAGGAAGAAGGTGACAGAGAATGGTTACAGTAAAGTTATATTTAAGTCTGATCCCCGTGTGGGTTCCTGTGGCCCATTGTGGGGGAAACAAGAATAGACCCAAAAGCATGTCATCAGAGTCGACTAACTCAGTCAAAGTGCATCTGCCTGAGAGGCAAGGAACCAACAGTCTACATACAAATAAGTAAGAACTTTAAAACAGATGTGCACACAACACTCAGGTTCTGGAACAAGGCTAAAGTCCAGAGGGGATGAACAACCAGAACTTAGCCAGAGTTTACAGCTGGTGAACAGGAAGAAAATTAAGTCTAAATACTCTAAGCATGGAAAGAGATTAATTAGAATATTAATATTAAATTATTATTACAATTACCAGTGGTGATAGCATAATTCAATTTATTTGTTAATTATGAATTATTCAGTGTAAGTGCTAGGGAGTTACTGTGCGGTGCTGTTTCTCATTGTGTGTGATTAATCTACAAAATAAAATAAGATTATAAGACTATGTTTTTATGAAAAGAGATATCCATCAATGAACAAATTATTTGTATACTAATTATTATAGTTTATTTTATTTATAGTATATTATAGACGAGTTCTAAGAAAATCATAGGTAAAAAAAAAAAAAAGAACAAATGCATCCATACTTGAAGAACTGAATACTGAAGAAGGCTGGCTATTAAAGATGATAAAACACAGAAAACTGAAATATTTTGGTCACTTAAAACGTCACAAAAGTTTAGAGAGAACAATAATAAAGGAGTATATGTCTGGGAGAAGAGGAAGAGGAAGGTCAAAGAAAATACGGGTGCAGGTTGTGGCAGATGATCTCCAGATGGGTGTATCGGACATGGAACATCTTGCTTGTGATTGAGAAGTTTTCTGGAGGGTTGTTATAGGAGCAAGGTTCTGCAAAGGACATGCTTACTGACTGAGTGAATTATTATAGTGATCCTTTACAGTATAGTTGACCAGTACTTCTTTGCGTTCGCTGGTTGTAAACTCTCACAGAAAAAAAAAGTTCCGGTTGTTCAACTAATTCTAGATTCTCCCCCGTGTGGGTTCCAGGGTTCTATTGTGGGGAAAACAAGAATAGACCCACTGCCTACCCAAAAGCATGTCGTAAGAGTCGACTAATTGGGAGCTTCCTTCGAAGTCGGAGTGCATCTGCCTGTGAGGCAAGGAACCAACAGTCTGCATACAGATCTGTCAAACAGATGCACACGCAACACTCAGGTTCTGGAACAGGACTGCATTCCAGAAGTGGACGAACAACCAGAACTTTCCGCCGGAGTTCACAGCCGGTGAACGCAAAGAAGAAGAACTAACTCTAGACATTAGTCTTGTTCACAAATCCGTTTTTAAGATCTCACAAATGTATATGCAGACTGTTGGTTTCTTGCCTCTCAGGCAGATGCACTCACTGCCAGTTATCAAACTCTTATACTTATGGCATGCTTTTTGGTAGGCAGAGGGTCTATTCTTGTATTCTCTTATAACAGTATTAACAGGGTCCTGCAAAGGAATGATACTGTCAGACAGATTGTTATGGAAAAATCCTTGTACTAGCAGTGGGTCGATTTTTGTTTTCCTTACAATGAAAACAACCCACTGAACCGACACGGGAATACTAATACTGTTATTTGCTTTAATTTAGGTACTGTACTCAAATGAACTGTCTACATTTAATTTGGAATTATTTTATAACTTTTTTTTATAAAACTAGACTAATAAGTAATAGTGAGTAATAGCTGGATACTCATACTATCAATCATTTAATTAAAATAATTAATTACTACAAAATTTAATTTAAATAACTATAAGTGTGTTATTTATAGTAACAATACATTAAATTAATTTTTATGATTAATTAGAGTTAAACAAAAACTGTTTCAAATAATTTGATTTTTGCGTTGACAGTCAACTTGCCTTTTGATTGGGAGCAGCAAACCACACTTCACTGAATTTAAGAACAATGACGTATTCGCCATCCTTGTACAAGGGTATATCATAACCGAAAGTACTGACATGATACCGTTCTGTCTGATACAAAATCTGATCCTGTGGAATAACTCGCTGTATCAACAGACTCTTTCCGAAATCCGAACTGTATCCAACATCTAAGGGGTCTGCTTGATATCGAATGCCATGAATATCCGTATGTTCGTCTCCGCCGCAGTTCACGGCCCATAACACTTCACCTGCGTTTACTGAACGCAGAAATAGATTGCACACGAGAATTAATGCCAAAATGCCGTGTCTGTAGTATAATATCCTGGTAAGAAAGCGAATCGCAACGCCGGTAAGCGACGGCATGTTCATCTTTCCGTTCGTTACGTTTCCAAGCGGAAATTAGGAATTTAATTATCTTCTGCAGCGGTTTCTTAAAAACTTGGAATATAGTATTGAAGACATAACAATAGCATTCCGAATAAAGGAACGAAAAGATTAACCAGTCTTTCTTTCATTCTTTCTTTTTTCCTGCGTCGTGCCGTTAGGCGTCGCAGATTGACTGATTATTGCTTTCCGAGCCAGGGTATGCTCGGTATCTTCTTCTTCTTCTTCGATCCTTCTGTCAGAAAACTTATATCAGGAGGCCGGTAGCCTTTATGAAAGCTATCGTGCAATCCATATTCTCTCGTGTATGACCTGTATGCTAGGAAATCTCAAAATATCAGTGATTTTTTTTTATCCCTCTTCTTCTTTGTCGTCCCCTACCTCTTCGTGTTTCTACTTTCATCTTGTATGTCCTTGTTACTCGTTCACTGCATTTATTCTCATTCAATGGCCAAACCATTTACTTCTTTGTTTTTTGGGTGAATTTAATTATAGACCTTGTTCTAACAGTTCTTGTTATTCCTTCGTTCCTCAAATGATATCTTCTAGTTTTGTTCACGGCCTTTCTCAAACATCTAATTCACAGGTAGTTAACCGTCTTTCATGTTCTTTAGACAAGTTCCAAGTCTGACAATGACAGCACAAGATTAGGTCGAAATGTGCATTTATAATTTGTCTTCTTATCTCTATTAGGACAGCCGGGCGTTTTCAAAACTGGGATCTCTTTGTCTATTCTCCTTCATAAGTAAAGATGCTGCCTAAGTATATAAAGTGCTGAACTTGTTTTAAACTTTGGTCTGTTATCTTTATGTAGACAGTTTGATGCACTCAATTCCGTTTTTTTTTTTTTTTTTTTTATCAATGTCTGGAGCAGAAGTTTTAAAAGTTTGAACAACAGAGATCAACATCATGGCACACGGAAAATAACCCATAAGTGTTCAATTCCACTTCTAGTTCAAGTCTGGGTTAAAAAAAAAGAGAATCTCAACGCAGTGCACGAGCTCCGTAACATCGGCGAGGACACTGAAATACTTTTTGGATAGATTTTTAACTTCAAATTTTGTCCGTTTGGCTATTCTTTCAATTTCCAACAGCCAAGGGATTTATTACGTGCGCAACAATACAAACGTTCGTTCGATCTCACTACCAAGAGACGAGGAGAAATTACTAGAAGTCCACGGGAAAAAATCCGAGCCTTCACATGGACTAGAACCCGGGCTCCAGCACTCGAGGCGGACGCCATGCCTCGAGATCATGCAGCCCGACGCAGCTGTCTTGTTCGTTTGTACGGTTCAGTAGCTGATTAACTTGATTGTGGAACAGGCATTGGTCTTCGGCGGACAGGAGTACGTTGAAAAGTTCCTGTTCATCTCCAGATAGTAACATTTTTTTAATGATACCGCCCATAAATATGACACAAGTAAAGGTAATAAACATATTTTTGTCTCAAACTTGATGTTACAGAATCTAGACTATAAGGCCAGCTCATGTTCTAACAGCACACTTGCTTTTTCTATTGATAGCTCTTTTTCTGACGGTACATTTGCTTTCTCTGTAGCTATCACTTGTTCTGACCGCACATTTGCTTTTTCTATAGATAGCTCTTGTGCAATCTTACAATGTCCCTTTTTCTATAGATAGCTTTTGTTCTCACAGCACATTTGCTTTTTCTATAGATAGCTCTTGTGCAATCTTACAATGTCCCTTTTTCTATAGATAGCTTTTGTTCTCACAGCACATTTGCTTTTTCTATAGATAGCTCTTGTGCAATCTCACAATGTACCTTTCTCTATAAATAGCTTTTGTTCTGACAGCACATTTGCTTTTTCTATAGATAGCTCTTGTGCAATCTTACAATGTCCTTTTCTCTATTGATAGCTTTTGTGCAATCTTACAATGTCATTTTCTCTATTGATAGCTCTTGTTCTGACAGCACATTTGCTTTTTCTATAGATAGCTCTTGAGCAATCTTACAATGTCCCTTTCTCTATTGACAGCTCTTGTGCAATCTTACAATGTCCCTTTCTCTATAGGCTGCTCTTGTGCAATCTTACAGTGTCCCTTTCTCCGCACATTTGCTTTCTCTATAGATAACTCTTGTGCAATCTTACAGTGTCCCTTTCTCTATAGACAGCTCTTGTGCAATCTTACAATGTCCCTTTCTCCGCACATTTGCTTTCTCTATAGATAGCTCTTGTGCATTCTTACAGTGGCCCTTTCTCTATAGATAGCTCTTGTGCAATCATACAGTGTCCCTATCTCTATAGATAGCTATTGTGCAATTTTACAATGTCCCTTTCTCCGCACATTTGCTTTCTCTATAGATAGCTCTTGTGCAATCTTACAGTGTCCCTTTCTCTATAGATAGCTCTTGAGCAATCTTAAAATGTCCCTTTCTCCGCACATTTGCTTTCTCTATAGATAGCTCTTGTGCAATCTTACAGTGTCCCTTTCTCTATTGACAGCTCTTGTGCAATCATACAGTGTCCCTTTCTCCGCACATTTGCTTTCTCTATAGATAGCTCTTGTGCAATCTATACAATGTCCCTTTCTCTATTAATAGCTCTTGTTCTGACAGCACAGTTACTTTCTTTATAGATAGCTCTTGTTATGACCGCACATTTGCTTTCTTTATAGATAGCTCTTGTTATGACCGCACATTTGCTTTCTCTATAGATAGCTCTTTTTCTGACGGCACATTTACTTTTTCTATAGATAGCTCTTGTGCAATCTTACAATGACCCTTTCTCTGTTGATAGCTCTTGTGCAGACTTACAATGTCCCTTTTTATATAGATAGCATTTGTTTTGACCGCACATTAGCTTTCTCTATAGATAGCTCTTGTGCAATCTTACAATGTCCCTTTCTCTATAGATAGCTCTTGTGCTATCTAACAATGTCCCTTTCTCTATAGACAGCTCTTGTTTTGACCGTACATTTGCTTTTTCTATAGAAAGCATTTGTGAAATCTCAAAATATTCCTTTTATTCCACAATTTTCCCGGACTTCCTAAACTAATTCTCAGTCTACTCTATTGGCGTCTGTGGCTCAGGCGTTCCGAACGCGTTTGATATTTTTTTAGTGCCGGGTTCAACCCCTGCTGAGGACGGTTTGTTTTGCATTGGTTTCGATAATGGCAGTGAAACCGACCGTCCAGGAAGCAGTGGCAAACTACTGGACTTAAACATGCTTAGAAAAACTACAACAGCCCCAAAAATGCTAGGGTGTTTCTGAAACGCCTTTAAAGGATACGCAAATAACTCTATCAAACGCCTTATCTTGGTTTATGAAGGCAAAATTAATTTAGAGTGTGCTCTATTGTCTTTTCACTGTGGCGCGGTGATTTATGTCACAGGCGTGAGGGGAAGTTAAGTCCAACATGATGTGTATAAGGAGATACTCCGTACGTCACTCGGGCGCCAGTCCTTTAATATCCTGGTTGTACGGAACCTCACGCAAGACCCCGGCAGCACGTCCTCGTCGTGCGCCACGGATAATGTCTCAAATGAGCATTAACAGAGCTGTCAGGGGATCTCGGAGTTTGGCGGCCCCCAGAGGTGATGTGTCCTTGTGGCTCTCATCAGCCCGCCCCCAAACGCTTGGGTGAAAAATGTTATTATAACTCATTAGGAACATGAGTAGGTCTGCCAAACGTACAGCCAAAATTACAACCCTTGGTTAAAAGACTGCGGAGTAAAGAGAACATTGTTCACTGCACATCCTCTGTCAACCCTCAGTGTCGTCGTCACCGCGCTGGGGTACACCACAACAGCAACCATCCATAGGCTGGCCATTCAGGTACATCCTCGGTTAACCCTCAGTGTCGTCGTCACCGCGCTGGGGTACACCACAACAGCAACCATCCATAGGCTGGCCATTCATGTACATCCTTGGTTAACCCTCAGTGTCGTCGTCACCGCGCTGTGGTACACCATAACAGCAACCATCCATCGGATGGCTAAGCCTAAATGTCCGACAAAACTAGATCATACGGATCAAAATCTGCCCTCAAAATTTGTATTGAACTGAAAAAGACCGAATGTCCACACCCAAAGACCCCACTCGCCCGAGTGTTGGGACAAAACTGATACGATATGCCTGGAGCAGGATGTAAAATTCTGTCGGGCTAACGGCTCGTCAAAGAAATCTAACGTGCGAAGAAAAAAGAATGTACCTATCTGTGTGGTCACAAAAGTCCAAAACCCACGGGCTGCTCCCCGCTGACTTCCAGAGGGCGCAGCCCCTGTCGAGCGGGAGGCCTGATACGGTTGTGAGGTTAAGCAGGCATGTGCAGGACGTGACGATTCCTTGGGTGAGCCCAGAACCAGAGCGCCATGTGCCGGCTCTGCATACATGGATGCCTCCTTGGATGGCGGGGAATGCCAATGATCTGCCCCTGCCTTCCCTTGAGGGCTAACTGCTCCACAGGGGGCTGACCCAAAGGGGTACTCCGGGGGCAATACCTGCGGCAAAGGAGACAATGTGGACACCACACAAATCAGGCAACGTCTCGACCCACACAAAACAATGGCCACAGTCACCCTAGAAATAGGCCTGACGTCTTCCTTCGAAGTCGGCGTACAGCTGCCCATGAGGCAGGGAAATGAAAAACGGTTGTACACGCAAAAATCAGGTCCAGGTGAAAGCCAAAAGTCCAAGCGGACGATTACCTGACCTTCCACTGGAATTCACAGCCGGTGTTCGATGAAAAAAAAAAAAATTGTCTTTTCACTGATTTGTCTTCGGGCAAATTGGCCTGCCTATATTGCGGCCCCTGGCAAAAGCCAGAGTGGGGCTTCAAATTACAAAAAATTACGTCCTGAAAAGGATGTAAGGGATTAATATCGCCGATATGCCACCACCATGATCACCATGCCTTTTCGCATGATTATGAATGCACTTGTGTATTTATGTAATGTGAATATAACCATCATCATACTCATCGCCGATATTCCATCACCATGTCCACCATGTTTTTA